CATCACTCTCACATCAAAATTCTTACTAGATTCATTTTAAACCTTATTATTAAAGACATTGAAAAAAAATACCCATAACTACCAGGCCATAATACCATATAACTAATAACTGCTCTTAAAATTAGACTAGGGAAAACATCTATTTACAAAACAGATGCTTATATCATCTTCATTGATATTTCCAAAGCTTTTGATTCCATTAAACACCAACATTTATAGAATATTCTTTACAAATAATATCAACACCCATCTAATAAAAATAATTATATCCATTTATGAAAATACTATCACCAATATCAAACATAATAATTTAAAATCCCCCTATTTCAAAATAATATGCTGTGTTAAACAAGGCTGTTCTTTATCTCCACCTATTTTTAATTTATCAGCGACTTAATAAACTCTTGTAACCTTCAAAATGTTGAATGGCTCTGCTATGCAGATGACATTTGCATTATCACCGAAGACTTTAATTACATTAATAATATTCTTACAATTATCTCTACCAATCTACATCAAATGAATCTTAAAAATAATTTTGATAAAATAAAATTTTTATCTACTTCCCTATCACACTACAATTTAATATTTAATAATAAAAACATCTTATTCACAAAATCTCTCAACTATCTAGTCATCATTATCGATCACAAAGGCTCCACCAAACCCAATATCACACCAAAACTTGCTAAAGCTTCCAACAAATACTACTCTCTAAACAAACTATGGCACACCAATATTATCTCAAATAAATTTAAAGTTCAAATTTTCAAAATCTACATACTATCATCCCTAACTTATGGCAACGAAACTTAAGATATCACAAAATTCAATCTAAAAAATCTCAAATTTTCAATAAATCATTAAAAACCATTTAATATTAAATTTCCTTATATCATTTCCAATTTTAACCTCTAGAATTCATGCAATATCCTTCCACTATACAAACTACTCACATATAGGAAACTAGAAATATTATATCATTCCCTTAGACATTTACAACACAGCATCATTACCAAAGCCTTAAAACTTACACCATTTAACCAAAAAAATAAAGGACAATATTACACCTACTATAAATCATGGTATGGCCATGCTATAAATATTCTAAACTATAATAATGTAGGCAAAATATTCTTAATTAATATCTCACAAAATAATTCTCACCTAAAAGCTTGGCTCATTCAAGCTATTCTCGAATATAAATAAATTTACAATTGAATTAATATTATTATAAATTAAATTTACAATATGAATTAATATTATTATAAAATTAAATTTATTATAAAATTAAATTTATTATAAAATTAAATTTATTATAAAATAAAAAACAATAAATTATTAATTATTATCATTTTATAATTTACTTAACCAACCATACTTTTCTTTCTCTCCCATATAATAACTATCCAACTTTATCAATTTTTTTTCCACCATATCAATCCTTTTTTTTCCTTACATTCTACACTTTTATTACCTTTATCATTATCTCATACTCCTTTTTTACACATATATCCATTATAATACATTAATATTATATATAATTTTCTCACTTCTTAACCTAATAATAAGATATATCACTATAAATTAGTGGATGCTAGCTTAGTAATGTCAGTCCTCTTAAATTAAACGGGCACTGGTAGGGTAAATTACTGCCAAACAGTAGATGCAAATCCACTGCAATGGAGATGCTCTCTCTATAGGGCTGTTGAGTGACCACTTAAATGTGGGATGTCTCCCCAGTGTACAATACGATGCGATAATATGTTTAATAATATGGTTTATTAGCGATGTAGGATTCTCCTATGAAGATCAATTACTGTAATTGGTAAAAGTGATGAATCAAACATTCTAATTAATAAGAGTGGCGAAATTAATATTTTAAGTTAAACGAACAATGGTAATCAAGTAAAAAAAAATTTGAAGTAATGAATATAACTAAAATAAATTTTGATAAACAAAACAATTTTCAAGACTATTGAATAAATAGATGATGTTTTGGAGATAAGTGGGATATTGGTGGATAAGGAAATCAAGGAAAAAAATATTATTTGCATACATGGGGATTAGTAATTTGGCAGAGATGAGGTCATTAATATATCCAAGAATTTTGAAGGAACAAAATTATGATGAAATAATAGAAATAGGTAAAGCAGTTTTTAGACCCATTACAACTCTATTTAGTTCTAGAATTAAGTTCATTCGAATAGAAAGAGGAGTTGCAAAATAGTTGCTGAGTTTTCAGGGCGGCTTAAAAAATTGGCAAAAGAGTGCAAGTTTGAATCAGACCTGGATGAGAGATTAAGAGTGCCAAGAAAATGAAAAAGATACAAAAAAAATTTCAGAATAAAGGATCTTAGATACATATACTAGTGTCTAATTATAAATGTTAAAAAGATACCTCGGGGTCAAAGGTGTTGCGGGACAATTGTTAACCTTTTATTTGATGATGGATGATTAAAAAATTTCCCATTATAGGAGATATGAATAAAATTTTACCCATAATTTGTTGACAGGTATTTAGAAACTTTTAGTTACTTTGATAGGTTTGTTAGCATAAATATTTGGTACTCATAACAGCATATATTCTTTAGAAGATATTTGTAAATCATCTTATTTTTAATGAATTACATAATATGTCAAAAAAATTTCTCTACATTATTAATAGAATTTTCTGTATTGTATGGACAATAAAATAAATATCTCAAGAACCAGGCTTTCCCGACTTAATTGAAGAATGTTACATCCCTAATACATCATCTTTTCATGGAATGGTCTAATTATTATAGTTTTTGATATAAAAAAAGACTATATTTAAACAAGCTGCTAACACGTCAGGAATGATGGGAAATCATATATTTCTTTTTTTAATTGATAACGGATGAATCAGAAATTAGCCTTTTTTTATGAGGTGTAAATCATAAATTTATCTTTGTTTTGACAGGAGTTTATTTTTTTTTTTATAAATTTTTATAAAATATATTAATGAACTATATATTTATTAGTACCTTCAATATGAGCAAGTGATCTGCCAATGATAAAATTCTCAGGCCTGGCCTGATAAGAATTTAGTTAATGCTCGGTCCGTCCAAATTTTTGTCTGACCTGGTCCAGTTTCAATTTTTTATTAAGGTTGTTCTGCCCAGCACAGTTTTAATTTTTTATAATACCTAAACCAAAATATATGTTGTTGAATACCAAAATATACAAATATTTATAATCTTGGGGAGTGGTTAGATTAAAGCACTATACTTTATGGATTATAACTTCAATGAAATATCAGATTCATCAAATATATATTAAAAAATTTTTACAAGGCCCGACCTCTTTATTTTTTACCCGGCCCGGTCGGGCTTAAAAAAATTCTTAATTCTCAGACGTATGCACTCATTGACTAAGCTACAGACGCTTTTCGAAAACAATAATTTTTTAATATAATATTGATAACTATATATGGTAGTGTAGAAAATATATTAAATACAGATTCGTTCAACACCGCTGATAATAACTAACAACCAAAATAACATGTGGCCTGTAAAATCCACTTTTTCACTCTAAAGTTTACATATGTTTGTTGTATCATATATAATTGTATTTTAATCCATAGATATTTAGTATGTATATTTAAAATACATTTTTTTAAAGCGTATTTATATTTGCATTTCCATTCAAAATTTTATATACATTTTTTTTAAATTTGCCTTTCTCTTATATAAGAATTGGAATTAAATATACTTTCTTACATTTTTAAACTCAGATATGTTCAAAACATTTTTTTATAACTATAAAAACTATTTTAAGAGATAATTTATTGGCAAATTATTTTAAACCTCCTATACTAAATAAATGGGGATTTACAGATTTGATAAATTATAAAAATTTCTTTATAAATCTTGAGTATTTAACCATTAGAACGAATTTATATATAGGTATTTTAATCACATAGTGTCCCTTTTCAAACACAAAATGTATTTTTTCAAATAGTTTATTTTTCAATCTAAGTTGAATAAAAAAGGGCCTATGTGACTCCAAGAGCAGGACAGATCAATATTCTTAATTGAAATTAAAGATACAGACGTATTCAGGATGGTTGGGAAGCTTTTTTTTAAAAACTTTAAATCAAAATTATTTCTAAAGTCCTCCAATAAAATTTTGGAGGATTTTAAATATATTTTTTTCTGAATTTCAATGGTAATAGTTACTTTTTAAAGTTATTAATTTATTTTTCAAAAAATTATTGTTTGTAGTAAATTATTTTCTTCATTTTTTGGGAAAGAGGGCGTATACCAGGCCCGTGAAAACGGGAGAGTGGGTGGCAGTGGCTTAATTCGCTAAAATTAAACTATTTTAGATGTCGCCATATTTTGGTACAATGGTTTGGATATACTTTTTCTACTATCTATTTTTTTTTTGCTATTTGGATTTTTTTTTCTAATTTTCCATTTTTTTGCAAATTTTATTGTTTTTTTTGCAAACTTCCTTTATTTAAAACTAATTTTTCTTTTTTTGCTAAGATTTCCTTTTCTTAGGGAGTTTTTTTAAAGGGTCGACGAATTCATTTTCACCCTAGGATATTAAAAGTCTTAGCGCAGTTCTCGTTTATAGGGGTGCCAATTCTTATCTCTATAACTATATATATTCAGGGGGGGGGGTTAATATATAAATTTAATTATTAGATTTTGAAGATAGCACAAATCAATTTAATAGTTTAGAAATTAAACTATTTTAAAAAAAATCTTCGGAGTTTTATTACTATAAATACATGCTATCAATTTTATATGTTGACTCAACATGTTTGTTTTATTAATAGTATGATAAGCAAAAGCAATCTTAAAGTGAAATAATGATTTACCAACAAGTTAAATACATACTTTCATATACATAAGTTCATTAATTTATACAAAAAGTTTGAAATTATTTGGCAAAATGTTGTGATATTTTAATCGATTTTATTTATAGCTTACCACAATTTGTAGTCAAATGAATCCAAAGATTTAAATTTATTTGTTTTGAGGTAAATGAAGTTTTTTAATATAAAAAGAATCCGATTTCGCTATGCTTGAATTAATAAGTTTGCCCTTGAACACGTTCGAGGAAATATTTCTTTCCAATGATATATTCTTAGGTTTCGGTTTATCAACATACTCAATGTGCTGTCCCGAAAAATAACTTCCGCTTTCCAAAAGTTTTATAAGATTTTCAACAGTCGATTTGGTTTCTATCAATAAGAAGGAGGAATAAGAAATTTCTTCCATGGCCTTGGTTGGTATGGGGGTCAAAATATCTTCTTTTTTAATCTTTAAGTTTAAAGAACAATCAACCAGGGTTTGCCAAGTTTCAACCTTTACAGGGCCCGGTGAATAATTGAGCACCGATATATTTGGATTTTCTATAGCTATTACCTTGAAATACATTTCCTTCGCTGCCTTTGAAGCGCACCCAAGTCCTAATCCCTGGACAGGATTTATGGCCAATGGTGATGACATGTTTACTACGAAGCATTTGCAAGTCGAATTAGTATTTAGGTTCGATTTAATGTCATGAGTTGCCATAACATCTATAAAAACGTTGTTAAGACATATAGAAGATGTTACATTGTGCCGAAAGTAATTACCTATTTCTTCGGCGCTAAAATCTTCTGGCCTTTTGGAAAGAGTTATCCGGCCCGCATTATGAAAAATTATAGCTTGCTTGTAGGCGTAAGTCTTGCTCGAGATCAAATATTTGTTAAACACATTGACTATGGATTCGGTGTTGGTATTAAAATCAAGGGTGGCGCAATGAATTTCAATAGTCGATTTTAAAGACCCTGCTTTTGTATTTTTGGAAGGATTGTAGCATTTTGTTTCAAGGTAATGAGCGTGAGATTCTAAGGATTTGATATTAGGTGCGGAAATTATTACAGTGCAACTGGTCTTGAGATTTTCAACGAATTTTTCAGATAGGGTTCTAGTTAAGGGCAAATTAGCACCTGTAAAAATAGCTAGCGTTGGTAAATCAAAATTGAGTTTATCAGTGGTATAGAGACCTAATTCAGGGCAAGAAATGGATAAAGAATTCTCTTCCATCTTTTATTTTTCAAACAGCATCAAAGCACAGAGTATTTTAATTATATTTACAAAAATATAACACAATAGTAAATAAACTTAATAAAAATTTTAAATATTGATTTTCTTATAGACATTAGGGTGTACCACATGTTTTGAATTTTTTCATATAAATGTAATTTTTATAAATAAAATGCAATATGCTTATTTTGACTTTTAATTTAAGTCTCCAAATTAATATTAGATTTATGTATCGTCATCGGGATTAGATATGTCCCTATTCCCAGGTTCAAATTATTTATGATAATTTATTATTTTTTTCTAAATGGAGATAATTTAAATTAATTCATTGTCACAACATAACATATGATTTAGATAATATAATTATATATCGCTATTAATATTTTTATCAAGATAAGTTAAATTTATTATAAAATTTGTTAATTTAACATTGTAGTAGGTCTGATTCTGTCTGTAGGGAATACCGAGGAACGTTGGGGCAGAGAAAGTCTACTATTTCTAAACCATCATCATATAAGGGTGGAAGTTTAAACCTAATATAGCTATTTACATACATCATTGGCTAAAAAAAAATTTGAAAAAAATTTATTCTTTTAATTTTTGGGAAGGCAAATATGATTTAATCTACTAAAAGAAACAAAAAATAAATGCAAACTTTATAGTTTCGCTATAAAATTAGTTATACTTATTGCAGCTTATGCTAAACAGCTTCTGAACTAGGACACCCTATGGTTTGTTTTAAGTATTTGGCGCCATTGTTATTTTCCCATTTTTAAAAAAAAAATTTACAGTGAAACGAGTGTTAAAAATCAACTAACAATAAAAGGGGGTAAATATAATAAGATTTTATTTTAATTTAATACATATTGAAAATTATGGACAAGCAATTAATTAACAAGATTAATCGTTTTAAAATTAATAAAAAGAAATTATGTTGTAAATATATAATTTGTGATAAAAAATGGAAATTTTTATTTGATCTTCTTTGGAATGTTCAAGGTAGATTTTTGATTAAATTTTATATAAAATTCTAAATCATTTTTTGTAAAATGTCTTTTGATATTTGAAAAGTAATCTATTTTGAAATTTTGTATCCATTTATTTCGATAAAAATATGATAATACTATAAATTTTTTTAATAACTTCGATAAAATGATTAATACATAAAAAAATATAAATAAAATTTAGCAAAATATTCTATTGTTCCACGAATTTGATGATGGCACATTTTTAGAAATTAAAAGAGTTAATATTATAATTATTAATAAAAATCAATTAAAAGGATTACCTAATTAATCAGTTGCTCGCGATAACCCAACTCCAAATAGCTTTGCATGTGATTGATTGTAAAAGTCAGAAAAATCATAAGGAATAAATCCGTGTAAGAGCTGAATAATATTTCCAATAATTTCATCTCTTGAATAAGGGCGGGGATTTATTTCTAGATATTTATTTTTCAAGACTTCAAAAAATTTTTGGATGGGATTTGATTTAGCTGAGGTGAATATGGTGGTAGATATTCAATCCTATCTTTATATGCATCCATAAGATGGCTTCTATGGATAGATGTATTACGCATTGCAATAATTGTATCTGGTGGTAAGACACTGATAAGCTTTGTCATAAAATCACGGAATAACAACCCATTATAAGCTCCTTCGATTATTTTATAATGGATTACCCCTCCAATTCCAATTGTACAAAGTATGCTTACATTTTTACCCTTAGAGGATAGAATTTTTATTATTGGGCGGACATTGTATGGTGCCCAGGCGTAGATTGGTACAACGTGGAAGTTTATTCCTGTTTCATCTAAGAAATATAATTTTTCTCTTGGGGTATTTAAGATCTTTACACAATAGACTTGACGAATATTGATTGCCCCAGGAGTTTTTCTTCTATCAGGCTCCTTGCCCGCTCTTTTTTCAACCAACCTATATTTTTTATATATTTGCTAATTGTTGTTTTTGTTTTTGGACAACCAGGAGGTAAATTTTCTACTATCTCCTGGATAGTAAGAGTATTATTATCCATCACTAAACTTATGATGCGTCTTTCAATTACGGAAGTATCTTTTTTTACTTCCTCTTTTTTGAATATTATATTCTTTTAAAGGATTCCGTCTAAATTTATGAACTGATGCTGTAGACATTTCGACGTATTTTGCAATGTCTTTAATTTTCATCTGTTGTCTTTCAGGCATTGATAACATTTTAGTAACTATATCTATTTTTTCTTTATTCCAATATTTGTGTATTCTTTTTGGTCTTTGAATTCTCGACGAAGATTGGGAGTTTTCATTTAAATTGGAAAAATTAATATTACTATTGAATAATAAAGATTCTATATTAAACATTTTTTTTTATTATTTAAGAAAAATTTTAAAAATTAATAAATATTTTTTTACTATAACACATTTTTTAATTTTTAATTTCCAACACATTTCTTTTCAGCGATTAATCTTGTTAATTAATTACTTGTCCATATTTAATTTCAATATGTATCAAATTAAAACAAAATTTTATTATAATTACCCCTTTTTATTGTTAGTTGATTTTTAACACTCGTTTCGAACATTTTTTTTTAGTTTAAATTTTTTTTATAACTTTTTAAGATGTTTAGTCGAAGTTAAATAGCTGGCTAAATAATCGGTTGTTTGGTAACAAGTTAAACCAAGACAGGGCCTAAAAATCCATATAAATAGTTGTAGAAAAGGTTAAATCTATTTTTTAAACTGATAATTTTTCAGAATTATAAAACAAAAATAATATGGTTAATGAAATTGATAAAATTAGAGTATTTATCACATTTTCTTCTTGAATGAACCAACGCAACATGTGCTAGACCAAACTACCACTCCAAACTATTCGTTTAATCAAAAATAAACAAAGCTTTTACTTCAAATATTAAGTTGTGTTTATTTTTTTACCGTTTTATAAAAATGTTCTGGAAGACCCTTAAAATCAGAATCGAATAGCCAAATAAGAAGTAAAGTATATTTAAATTTATTTATAAATAAAATAAAAATTTTGTACCACAAAATCAAATTCATTTTCAATTCCCAATATCCGGAATTCGAAAAGACTCGGGCTCATAAGACATTTTTGGCCTCAAAAAGGCATTAAACCAAAATAATTGGAGATATTTAAGGTCATAATTCAGCACTGTGGTTGCCATCAAGACTTGTTTGCTAGTTTATATGGCCAATTCGCATCTCGTAAAATATTCTTCAAACTTTAAATAGTTTTATTAAAATTATTTTTATTTTAAAATTTAAAAAAATCAATAGCCAAAATCCGCCTTAACCAAGTAGTGGTGTTATACAATTTTGACATACGCATTTGTAGTATCATGATAAGAATTAAATATAACAATTTTGCATAATATCAAGACCGACTAATTGAAAATTAATTATATGTAATATCAATTTATTTAGCTCTAATTTTTTAAAGATATTTTAATGTATTCTTTTACGGTTAAATATTGATTAATTTAGAAATTTCACTTAAATTACAAATTTCCTGTTCCTTTAGAGTCTATAATATGGTAATTTTTTTAAATATAAATTTAATATATATATACTCGTAGTCTTAATATAATAATTATATAAATTATAGCTATATCGTTACATATTTTACACATAATTTATTTTAAATTAATATTTCTCTTAAAAATATACACGTTGGCTATTTTCTATATCGACACAAATAAATATAATAATATATTTATGACTAATTTTAATTTTAAGCATCATAATATAAATCGATCACTGGCTGGTTCGTACTCTCTTATATCATCAGGGTATGCCATTTTGTTATAATCTTATCAGGATTATTCCAAGATTCGATCCAATGCGTAGTATCTGAAGTTTGATCTTGGGAAGAAGGATTTGATTCAATAAGGATTCGGCCTATTAATTTTGAAGGCCTTTTTAATATACATAATATAATTTTTATCTTATCCATTAGAAATTAGAATTTATGATTTAAGAATGGGGAGGGGAATACCACAGAAATGTAGCAAATGCAAATATAACTATAAATTATTAACTTTAAAAAAAAAATCAATTAAAGACATCTTATTCACGTAAATTACCGGGCAAACAATTTTTTAATGATTCAGATACATTCATATTATGTACTAAATAACTTTTTACCGTTTTTTGAAGATATTTTTGTAATTAGGTGCTAAAATGGATTGATTGCTATCATTAACTATTATATCCATAGAAAAATGGCCATAAATACTCTTCAAACTCTTATCATGCTTTTGTGCGCCATTAAATAAATGCGATCCAAATTTTACGGTTTCGTTGAAGACTGGGTCATAAGTATTAAGTCTAATACGAGTTGAATATTTATTTAAGATTTTATTTGCATCGCTATCTTTTAGAAAAATCTTTACATATGGGTCTGTTTGCATAAAAAACATTAAAAATTTCAATTTAATTTAAGCACAGAAAAAAAAATTACAAAAATAATCACTTTTATATAATACACCAAATTTCAAAATGGCCATTTAAAAAAAAATTATATCTCCTTTTCATAATGGTTACCAGTAATTGTAAATATAATCAAATAATTACCTATACATTGCTTGCTTTCAGATTTATATAGATTTCTGGCTCTTAGAATAATCAAATTTAAAGTTTGAGTAGATCGAGAATAACATAAGGATAGTAAAATGTCGCCTCGGTGATTTTGAATACATCTCTATAATAAATAAAAGATTTTTTGAAAAATCGACAAAGAGTGGATAAAACTGAAAGTATAAGAATGTTATAAATCAAATTATGGTTAGAAGTTTATCATTCTAGAGATATTTCTCTATTTTTAGGTTATCGCTTACACAAGGGAATTAGCCGTTTTGATATGATATGATACTGTATATACCTTAAAAAACATAAAATCTATCCTACAAAAAATCGTTTGTTTACGAATACTAATGATACAATTATTCGATATATACGAATAGTATGATTATTTAAATATGAATACCAAATTATTCAATTAAATTTTTGCTATATCAATTAGTTTGATTTACTATTAAAAGTAAAATACAATAAATATTAGGACCATCATTTACCAGAGCATCGTCTACATCACTTAGTAATTAAGCATAATATAAAAAAGTTCTATGAATTAACAATAAAATCATCACATTCAGATATCGAGTATCTGATTTAAGATATATTTATAGCAAACGCAATGCGATATTTAATTCATAAATTTTTTTCTATTCGTATTCGATTTGAAGATGCGCATTGAATATAATTGTATTACTAATATTCGTATTAAATAAATCATTCCTTTTCTGTATTCGTAAGGAAAATGAAATAAATTCTTTAAAAATATGCTATTGTATAATGGTTAGATAACACTTCATGTATTAATCATTTTACAGCAGATTTTTCTAGAAAGAACTATGTGATCGATGCATTATATTTATGTATGAACTATATATAGAAATGTTTATGTTATCTCAATTGGATTATGTGTAAATGAACTATGTTATAATTTTCAAAAATGAAAAATGGATTATTAAAATTTAAAAAAGTGATAGATGCTGAAATTAAGTTTAAAAAAAAGGTTCCGAAAGGAACATGTTGAATCCATACGAATAATTTTAAGTATTTATGAATATTTATAGATAATTTCAAATTTTAAAAATAGTATTGCATATTTACGAATAATTTAAAATATTTAAGAGTAATACAAATAGTTTCTATTCAGTAAATAATATATTTTTCTTATTCGTATTCTATTCAAAATTTCGAATCGAATAATTTTGATATTCGTTAGGAGTAAATCGTCCCAAAACGAATAACTTATAATTCGTTTTAGGTATAATTCGAATCCTAAAGGCATTTTCATATTGCTGATAGTACCAATTTTACAATCAACTATACAGATCAAATTCATATAATGACATTAAAATTGAATTGACTTAGTATTTCAGGGAAAAATGGATCAAAAAATTTATTCTTAATTTTATCTTAAAAATATAAGGATTTAATTGATCATTTATTTTTTGATTTTTTCTTTAATCACTAAATATTTTTTTTGAAAAAATATTATAAATCTAAAAAATGCAATTAAAATTATCAAAATTAAATACAAAAAAACCTATTATTGCGATACTAAATATTAACTAATTTGCAAAAATTATCCTAAAGTTTTCATAATATTATCCTTAAAAAAATGAAAAAACAATACACTAGGTCCCACATTACAGAACTACAGGGAATGATATGGTTTATCTTTTATATCTTGAGTAAGCGACTATACTGGAGTAAGATTATAAAAGTTAAAAATGATGATTATTTTATTTTAATTCCATTCTCGATATCTATCCTACATGCTGATTCGATATTTAAAGCTTCTTAAAGACCAGATCGATATTAAAGAAGCCAAAAAAGATACATTTATTTATTGATATTAAGCCGCAAAGTTCCATAGATTGACCAACATAATTAGCTCCCCGCCAATTTGCTCGGCCGACGGATAAATTTTAAAATTTTTATTTAAATCTTTTTTTATTTGAACTAATAAAAAGTATTTTGAATAAATAAAAGTCCTTTCTGCTATTTTCACTCGAAAAATATGATGCCGCCTTTCTGTGCAAATTCTGAATGTGCCTTTCTTAATTCACCAGACCCAGGAAAGGCCGTATCAAAAGATCCCTTCGGGATATGGGAAGGATTTCATGGCCATAACCTTTCCCAAACTTGAATTGTGACATATTACACCCATTAAAAAGAAACTATATTTTTCATAAACTTTACATTGGCAGAGCTGCTTCTGCAATCTTTCGAATGTTATTGTCGGATTAGAAAAATGCTCAGCATCTATACTGTCTAAGACGACGATATTATCTAAATAAATCCGGTAACTGAACAACCTTTATAACGTCAAACAATAGAATCAAATAATTTTGTTGTCCTATTATAAACTTTGATTAAATTTTACAAATTCCCTGCTTATAACTTTACAACGAATATATATGTCGTATTGGGATATGGAACTATGTGGGATTCGGAATCCCAACGTGGGGATTTGAGATCTTGAATCCCCACGTTTTATTCGGAATCTTTTTTTGTAAATATTTTTAAAAAATATATTTAAAAAATATTCCGAATCCCCATGTATATTTTTTTTAAACTTTTAAATTATATTTTTTTCTTCCTTTTTTTGCCGTCTGGCTGGCACCAGAAAATTTCATTTTTTAAAGATATTTTATTTTCTGTTTTTGTAAATTTATATAAAATAAAATCATAAATATTTTCACCAAATTATTTATTGCAACTCATTTTGCAATTGCATAATAATGTTTTCTCATAGTTTGTAACAGGGAGGCTCCTATATATTTTTAGCAGTTTAAATAAAAAATTAATATATTTTTTGTACATCAATTAATTTGAGGAGTATATGTGGTTATTATAAAAATAACTTAAATTACCTATGATTGATATATCTTTGTTGGGAACTCATAGGCGTAGCCAGGATTTTCATATGGGGGGGGGGGGGGGAAATTAAATAAGCCTGGAACAAATATGAAATATATTTTTATTAGTTTATATAAAATAAAAATATAATAAATTACTTGTATTGTATATACCTTAATATAAAAGCATGGTAATGATTTATTCCAAACAATTATAAGAAATTTATTTATAAAAAGTAAGTAGACATATAGTTGATTTTACTCTATTATATAGAATTATTTATAAAATACTAGGTAAAATTCCACTTTTACAGACATATTTGACAGTTAGAGAATATATTACAGTTAATAATTTAACAAATTTTACTAATCAATGCTCTTGATATTAAATATAGCAACAATTATTTAATTATTTAACCCCATCTATTTATTATAAGTAAAAATGATATTTTAATTTAATCTTCATATTATTCATCCCACAATGTCTTTAAAAGAAATTTTCTGATGTCCTTATCAATATTTTATAGTTTTCTGTAAAATATATAATTCGCTATATTGGTAAAAATTACTTGATTGTCATTTGATAATTAGATATACTGTAAATCTACGACATATAATATTCCACTGTTTGTATTGTGCTGTAATATTTTTTTAATTTATGACTTAATTTTATCAATAGTTTTATAATTATATTTTACTTTTATTAAAATAAATAAATTAAAATTACTCACTTTATAAAAAATTATATTTGATATATTATATTATTTAGTAATTTTATGGATCTATTATTAATAATTATAATACATTTCACTTCTGTCTTAAGACTTATTTTTGGCTTATATTCCATTTATTAAAAAACATTTTTGGTTCATTTTACATATTTATAAATTTATTTTCCCAAAAATCTATAAATTATGATGAATAGTTTTATAAAAAAATATCAACTTTTACATTCTTTCTTTTAAATTATTATTTAAGATATATGCATACATATTTGAGGGTCAGGGAGTGGGGGGAGGACTAAGGGGGATATTTTTTTATTAGCTAAAAATGATATTTACAAAAAGTGATAAATTTCTGAAGGGGGAAGGGAATCTTAAAAGATTAGAGGCAATAAATTGTGTTAAATTCTTCCAGCACACGTTCCTACCCATATTTTATTTTGTTCACCTAAATTTTTAGGATAATATTATATCTGTCCTATGAATATGTAATAATATGTGATAACCTAATATAAAGTTATTTTGTCCAATTATTTGAGAATCAATTAAGTTTTGACGCCCACGATTAGTGTTGTTAAATGGCTCATTTTGAGCCGATTTTTAAAAACGGCTAACTCAATATTTTGGCCTTAAAAATATAGCCTAAGCCTTGAGATTTTGCTAATAGATGTCCAAGCCTTTGTTCCTTCTACAAACAAAATCGTCAGGCTTGAGTTATATTATTCTGGATGAAATAGTGAGTTAGCCGTTTTTAAAAATCGGCTCAAAACGAGCCGTTTAACAACACTACCCACGATCATTTAAATATGAAATAAAAGGAGGGCCCTTTTTAAAATATTAGAAATACTATTCCCAATATTATTGGTAGCAAAACTATTTTTCCATGTATAAATTATAAATAAATTTATTTTTAATATGAATTAAGAATCGTATTAAAGGGGGGGGGGGGGGGAATTATAAATTATTATATTTTGAAAATTTATTTTTGTCTTTGTGAATTTATATTAATACAATTATTTTATTTTTAATTTTAGTTTAAACGATTTTTAATGCCTCAATTATTTTTACCCAAAACAGATACAGAATATAATTTATTTAAAACCACATTAAAAACACCCAAATACAAATCTATTAATTACATGGAAATATCGTTGTGCTACCAATAATATTGGGAATAGTATTTCTACTATTTTTATACGGGCCCATTCTTTTATTTCATATTTAAATGATCGTGGGCGTCAAAACTTAATTTATTCTCAAATAATTGGACAAAATAACTTTATATTAGGTGATCACATGTTATTACATGTTCATAGGACAGATAGAACTATCTGTCCTAAAAATTTAGGTGAACAAAATAAAATATGGGTACGAACTTGTGCTGGAAGAATTTCAACAAAATTATAAAATTAAATGATTTCTAAGTTCCCAACAAAGATATATCAATCATAGATAATTTAAGTTATTTTTATAGTAACCATATACTCCACAAATTAATTGATGTATATAAAATATATTAATTTTTTATTTAAACTGCTAAAAATATTTAGGAGCTTCCCGGAATGCCATAAACTATGGGAAAACATCGTTATGCAACTGGAAAATGAGCTACAATAAATAATTTTTTATAATTCGGATTTTTTAAAAATATATATTTAGGTGAAAATATTTTTGATTTATATAAATTTACAAAAACAGAAAATAAAATATCTCTAAAAAATGAAATTTTCTGGTGTCAGCCAGTCGGCAAAAAAAGGAAGAAAAAAATATAATTTAAAAGTTTTAAAAAAATATACAAGGGGATTCGGAATATTTTTTAATTATATTTTTTAAAAATATTTTAAAAAGATTCCGAATAAAACTTGAGGTTTCAAGATCTCGAATCCCCAAGTTGGGATTCCGAATCCCACATGATTCCGTATCCCAATACGACATATGCATTCTTAATTTTAATTATATTATCGTTTGCCTTGCATTTTAATTATTATAAAATAACAATTGGAAAATAGGATATAGAACTAAACTAAATTCGGTAAAAATATATGTGCTTATCTACCGGATGGGAAAGAATATATTAGAGCCTATATTCACCCTAAAGGTAATTTTGCAAAAATGATAAGTAGAAATTTTCCTATATATTTACATTCATTCTTCGATAAGGTAAGGTCTTCAGAATTACGGGACATCATAAAATATGGTATAGTAAGAAGCATAACCAAAATCCTATTATAATAATTAATTTGCCAAGTTCCAAATAGGTAAAATTCAATCTCCTACGTCTAGGGTCAAAAGAGGTTTAAGGTAAGGGTGTACACTCTAGCCAATTATAATCATTAAATTTTATATAATTAGAGATTCCAACACTTTAGCAGTGCATTCACAAAATACCATATCAAAAAATTATTTCCTGAGCCGATGATATAATTCTCATTAAAAAATCAGTTACAGAAACAATGAAACTGATAAAGATGCTAAGCACACAAGTTTAAGAGCCGGACTAAGTATTAATTATAATAAAATTATCATTATGCCGCCACCAAGTGTCCAAATGGGTAATATTACAGTTAACTCAAAATCAAAACCAGTAAATATTATAAATATCTTGGAGTTTCAATGGATAATAAAGTAATACTGATAGGGAAATAGAAGTCAGAATAATGCGAATATTACGATAAAAAATATAAACTATGGTTATCGAAAGAAATATCACTGAACTTATATCAGGTTTTAGCTCCACAGTTATACCAGTACTATTATACGGTAGTGACTTATGGGATGTAAATTAATCACAAAAAAAAGTTTTATAATGAAATGCCTTAGGCAACTTAATAACTATGTGTACCCCAAGTTACATTTACTTAAAATACTAAATATTTATTTAGGAAGAGCCAATAGTAGTTAAAAAATAAAAAAAAATAAAAAAAAATAAAAAAAAAATAAAAATTTACCTCTTGCTCTAGAATTAAATGATCGTCATATTGAACAAAAGAATTTATGGCTATAGAATAATGGTCAACATATCTCAACTCTCTATACACATGAATTTCTTTGTCAACAATTTCGTGAAAAATCTCATTAAGATTAACAACTAGTTTACCCCAAATAAATGTATTCCTTAGATTGTCATATATAAAAGGCTCCAGACTATCGTAGGGACTAACGTTAACTTTAAATTGAATACTCGTGTCAACTAATTGAGCTAAGGTTAAATCGTCAAAAAATTCAAATTTTTCATCGAATATTAAATTTATTGGGTTACTAATTAATTTTTTACCAACATTGGTAACTTTGTGGATAATCAAATTACGAGTCCGTAGAATTCTCTTTCTTTCTGGTAGGAGTTCCAGTTCAATGCTAACTAGTAACTTATTTATGTTTGATAGATCCATAGTAGCTTTATTTTTTAATGCCAAAGAATCTTTGTTAATGCATATGCCACTATCAATCATACAATTATTAATATTGTTATCTTTTCTATTTTTAAAAGTCAAAAAAATATCGCCTTCTGACACAAGCTGTTTCATATTTACAACAATCACTTTATTTATTTGGTGATATTTGATAGCAAAATGTAAAAAAGTTGGTTCTGGGCTAACTTTGCTATCAAGAATATTGTCAACACTAATATCATTTATAAAGTTTGGTTGTGTTAAATTTGAACAACTGTTCAATACTTGTGATATATTTGAAGCGACATTTCTTTCACGAATAGCATGAAATGATTTAGAAATATTATTGGACCCATTTATTTTTTCGCCAAACCTATGCTTTGTATTCTTTTTGTCATTTGATGTTTGTATTTGTAAAATAGATTTTTTAGTTAAAGGTTTATATTTTAAATATTTGGTACTTAATTTAGATTGGCACTCGAATTTCTTGTTGTCGACAGGGCGATTATTAGTAGCATTGATGATTTTTATGAAATTATTGACATAAGGATTAATACGGTTTTTACAAATATCCCATTCTTGATTACTATCAAAATTGTAGGGGTAGTTATTTTCGACCCCGTTTAAATGTTTGAGTGGCATAACCAGCTGACCGTTTTTAAAGTGGTTTTTGCATTTATTACTCAAAGGATTGTCATGATTTGCATTGTTGTGTTGGTCAATCTTGAAGTTACCAAATTTAATAGAGGGAAGAGATATACGAGGGGTTGGAATAATTAGTTTAGACGTGCCAAAATCGTTCTTGGGAATAAATTTTTTCAAGATCGAATTATTCTTTTTTACTTTATAAGGGTGTTTTAATGATATATCTTTATATACATTTTTTTGAATCCATATTTCATAGGAAGGCAAACAAGTCACCATTTGATTTGACGAACCACCATTTTTAAAAATATCATCGACAGAGTTAAAATTTGTTTGAGAACAATAATTATCGTTTTCATAATTGAAACATTTATCATTGGTTACTGATGAAATATTAATCAGTGAGGAAATTTTATAAGAATTTGACATGGATGATAAGTCATTCGTAGATAAAGAAATTTGTAAATTATTTTTGTCTGATGGATGTTTGCGTCCTAATTTGGAAATCGTTTTGCCCCTCTGAATATCGTAAGTAATGAATGATAATGAATTTGTTTCAGAAGAACATATTACACCACCCTCATTAAAAGGATTCGAATGAATGAACTGACATGAATAACAAAGATTTTTTGGATTATTGGTAGAAGTAAAGAAATTCATAAGGCAATCCCTTTTATCATTAATTTCATCATTTATTTCACATTTGTATTTGTGTTTGAGACAATAGTAGTTATTGAAAGCTAAACCGCACATTTTGTCTGGAGGGTTAATATAAGATGTCCTGATGGAGGAATTATTAGTAGGTGAAATTGGCCTTATAACGGGAACCCATCGTTGATTTTGATCTGGAATCAATAAATTCGCCTTTTGCAAACCTTTCATTTTTAGATATCTATGAGATTTTTCCTTTTTATTGTTTAAGAATTTTTGACTGGTAAATGATTTTAAAACTTTTGTTATGGCTACCAAAACTATTATGACTCCTCCACATATTCCCAGCGTGGAGAGTATCAGCATTTTGCTAAAATTAACTGATAAAATAAAGACTTAATAAAACTTCTAATATTATTCAATAAAGGTACCAAAGTAAATTCTATTGTCCAGAGATGCTGAAATTTTAATTTTATTTGAAAAGAATTCACTTTAACATGTCAACTAGATGAAATTCAAAGATTATTTTTATACCAATTTTTTAAAAAATAAAGAATTGATTTTTAATAAATTTTAATAATTGTTTTTTAAGAATATATGTGGCCAATAAATAAAGAATTGTATTTTATTCGAAATAAATTTTAAGAAATAATTGAAAAATAAATGCCGTAAAATAAATTTAGTTACCAAATGAATAAAAAATTTGTGGCCTTTGCAAATGGGGGAGTAGACGGAATAGCGACTCTAAAGGTCATCAAATTTATTCATTTAAAAGTAATATCGTAATTTTAAAAAAAAGCATAGATATTACATAAAGATAAGTTTATTTATTATTTATATTTTTAATTATATACTGTTTTCAAATTACGGATTTTATATGATTTTTTAAATTAACTAATTCTCATAATAAGCTGCTTATTCTGAGTTACTTTATGATTTTTTAAAGCTTAGGTAAATTGGGGTGGAGGAGGGGGGGGGGGTTATCTAAAAGTCCTATTAAGATCTGTTTTGTGGATAAATTTATATAATATAATTTCGCATTTTAAAATTGCAAATATATATTATAGATCTTTCAACTTCATTCGTTCGTTATTTGATAAATATTAAAAAGTATTTCCCCTTTGGACATCTAGTCCCTTTGCATTTACTTTCAAATAAAATCCAAACAATACCTTAAAACATCCACCAAAAAAATAGGTGTTTAAATAATGCTAAATGAACTGATCATGTCATAAAACGTTTATCGCTTAATTTTGGCAAAAAATATGTGGAAAAGATAATTTTTGTTTTTATTACTATAGTTGTAAACGTCTTTCAACTTTTTCCGTTAGTCAACAAGAATTAAACTATGGAAAGATTGCTAGAAATATCATGGAACATATTAGATTTCATATGAATGTTTTTTTTAACCACATCCCCCTTTTTAATCTTGTCTCTGAAATGGTGGGAGGAAAATAAATGTTTCAAAGTTTTTTCAATACATAAAATATTGTATAATAACGTCCTAAAAGCCTATTTAAAAATATTAACTTCTTATATTTTTTTAATCTTAAAAATAGTGATATATGAAAAAAATAAATGTAGTTATTTGAGGCAAATTTTTGGGACGGATATTCAACAAATCGTTAAAAGCGGAAAAACCTCTGAAAAAAGTTTTCTTTAACCTTTATAAAAAAAAATCCATAGTTATTTGAAAAGTAGTGATATAAACCATAGCGCAACAAAAACGCATAATTGCTTTTTAAAATTAATTGGTATAAATGAAGTAGGAGGTTATTTGCTATATTCTAATATGTTAGGGAGAAGAAGAAAAAAAATTAATTGTATACTATATTTAAGTTATAAATTTTTATTATGAATGTATTATAAAGAAATATTTATTAAATAAAAAAATCAATATTTGACATTTAAAATAATATGAGTATATTTGTTTTGTAAAGATACATTATAGAGCCTTACATATATAGGGGTAGCCAGGATTTTGGCAAGGGCCATATTAAATTTTTATAAAAATAATTTTGGGTTTTCACATTTGTTTTAAATAAAAATACCTTTTTCTGGTTTGAATTATAATTGTTATTTCAAAAAGTTATTAACTTTTACTAATTTTTCTTTCAAATTCTTTTTTTACAATGATATTCAATAATACTATAAAAAAAACTTGTATCTTTATCTATTCGACATAGGGTTACCGAAAATATCGTGGTCCTCCGACAAAATAAACAAAAAATTTTACCTTTGGATGTAGGGGAATATCACAAGCTTTCTGCAGGTGGATGTGTTGCTAACGCTAGGTTCACTCAGGTGTGAATAGCGCGTTCTAGGTCAAGATTATGACCAGTAGCGATTATACTTAAAATGCTCAATCTCGAGGAGATAAAAGAAGCTAGAGAGAGATGGGATAGGGGGCAGAAACCAATCCCGCCATTTTTAGATGGCGGGATAGGCCTGGAGTCACGATTTGTTTAAAATTTTATATTGACAATGTTGTAGCTGTTGAAAAAAAGAAGAAATAAATTTAATATAATACAGAAAATGTCAGTTATTTTCTGACAGGGGAATTAATGTTTCCTTGTGGATGAGAGCAAAACGAGATCATCATATGGGTTGAGGAATAACAATAAAAAAGATTCTTTGCTTGCGATTTGGAGTGAAGAAGACATGATATTGGATGAAGACGGGATTGATTGGGAAGATTTAATATGTTTATGAAATATATTGTTATATGTGCATATTTGACAAATAAAGTGGACTTGTAGTAATGTTTATTATATTTTATTAATATTATTAGAAAGGATTATTTTGGATTGATAAGTTATATTGTTGTGAGGGAAGGGTGGAGAGTAAGGGACATTTTTTCTATAAATACCCTCCAATTGTGACTATATGCAACTCATGCGTGAATAGAAGTTGTGGTAGATTTGGGCTGATCTCATGGCATATATGATCATGGGTATGCTAAAATAATTTTCAAGTATCAAGAAAGCCTGATAAGCTGGTAATTTTTCTAAAATTATTAAAAATTAATTTTCGATTAAAAAATTATTCAAGCGTTAAGACGGTAGACGCGTCCAGGCTAAAGCATAGCATCATTGGGAGGCTTCCAGTTTCTGTATAGCGTCTTAAAATTAAAAACGGGATGGAAGTTTGACCTGCCATAGTTATAAAGGGTAAAAAAAGCAATGATAAAGATAATCTAGCATATTTAATTATTTAATTTTAAAAAACTTTGACTCACCATTATTTTTAAATCCTTAATAAAACATGATAGATGAAATATGTTAAAATTTTCCTCTAAGGTAATATTTTAAATAAAGTATAATATAAATTCAATTACAATTTACGATATATTAAATAATATTTTACCAAATATTTAAACCACGCGGTAGATATTTTTAATCCAAGGACATCTTAGACACTTTTTAAAGGATTCGTATTATTATTATTCGCATTTGAAAAAAAAAATATCATTAAGTTTTTGTTTTCTTGTTTCGATTAGAGTAGAAAATCCTTTTTATACAGAGCTCTACTTCTATTCCAATGCAAAACCTTCTATAGAAAAATCGTGATCATATCCTGTGAACAAAAATAATTATACCCTGGCTTGAGTTATCACATACAAATTAATTTCTTACGTAGTGGTTTAATAGGGCAAGAAAATTTACCATTTAAATTTAGCTTATATATTCTGTAAAAGTATTTCAGTTTTGTAAAATCAGAAAATTATAATATAAACTAAAAATAAAACTAATAAAATAATAAGTTTATCTATAATCTCTATTTCGATGAAAGATTCTAATGTAACAAATATGATCAAATAATACATATAGAATTTTTGCTCATTCGTATAGTTATATTTCGGCATAAATTTAATTTAATTGACAATTTAAATAATCATTTCAATTACATGTTCTCCTTATTATAAATATTATTTTATTTTTAGATTAAATACATTGGCGTTAGAAGGGAGAGTTAGAGAGGTGCTTAACACCCCCAAAATAAAATTTATGGGCATTCATAATTAAATGATTTTAAGCCCCTCTGCCTCTAATTCATAATAAAAATGAATTTTAATATGTATTAGTTTGTTTCGTCGAAATAATATTTGATAACTTATTTCATGAGTCATGACCAAGGCTGGCCAGGTCTACTACATTGACTAGTAGACTACCCCAATATTTTAGTTGAAATCTACCACAATCAACTCAACTATCACATTTTTGAAATTTAATTTATACAAGATCTCCCACATTCTAATTTTTTTTCAAAAATCAATAAAAAAAACATGTATTATATATTTCACGTAAAAAAAGTTTTTTAACAAAAAATTCAATTCCCCGTAAAATAATTATCATTAAAACCTTTTTAAGAAAAAATCCCCACTATCTTTTTACTTATTTGAAAAATAAGTCCGTAATTTTTCTCACCTGGCCCGAGTTCAGAAAATAGAAGGGTTGGGGGCGAAGGCCCCAAAAAATATTTTTACAAAAATCTAACACAATCGAAAAACCTGTCAACCTTGGTCATAATATGACACTAATAAATCTGAATTATTACTTATTTAGTAAACTGTCTTAAACTAAAAATATATATCGAATATAATCTTTAACTATTAAAAATTTAATTTATAATAATGTTATCTATCATTAAGCCAAGGACCGAACCGTTGTCTAAAGGTTTAGGGGTGCTACTAGGGGCAGAAAATTATAAAGGTAACGGTCAAAGTTGGACAGGCCCTCAAAAAAAAGGATCTAGTACAAATTCTTTGTAAAAAAAATCTTAGATATTTTTTAATAAAATTAAAATGATACTTTATATAAAATGATCATTACCTATAAATTGGAATATTTAAGTATAAAATAACATTTTATATAATTTATTTGTGAAGTACATAACATAAGTATAATAAATTTTTTCATATAATTTATCATGAAACCTTTACTGTTTTAGAGCAAACATTGTGCCAAAACTGAATAACTTTTTAACTGGAGTTATAAAAGTATTGTAGTATTATATTTAAAAAATTTTTATAATAGAAGGATAATAATTAAGTGTTTGTAACGTATTTCTTAAAATTCAACCCCTCTAGCTCAATGTTATTTATATTAAATTTAGAAACATTTGTTGCACTAACAGAAAAATAATCACCATTTTCTTGGTTATTAGATGTTAAATCTGATGGATTAAAGTTTGATAATGTACCAATACTAGATTTAGAGCTTCTTTTAATAATATATTTTGAGAAGATATATTTTTATCATCTGACCACTATATTTATCGATTGGAAAAATTTTCCAAAATCATTTTCCTATTACCATCTTGGACAGCATTAATAAAGGTAGACAATATTGGAAATTTGATATTTAAGTGTACCTATGAT